TATATATATATATAGAGAGAGAGAGAGAGAGCAAGAGACTAATATTATTTGTAATATTAAAATTATAAAATTATTAATTAAAATGTAATTATATAAATATTATAAAACATATTGTAAATTACAATTGTTTTTATTTTTAAAATCAGCATAAATTGGCTTTGTTTTTATGCTAAATATTATTTCTAGTTTATTTAATCTCCCCCCAAATTTTCATTATTCTTGTAATATTCTTGTAATAAAGTACATTGTCAATTACAATGCCATTTTAATATTAAATTAGCTTCATTTACTTTATGCTGAATATTTTTTATATTTTTAATTAAAGTTTCAATATTATTTTGAATTGGCTTTTATTCTTATATTTTCCGTTTTCAATTTCATTTTAGTTTAGGTTTTAGTAATTTTGTTATGTTGTTTTGTCATTTTTATTACTTATTGTTCTATTTAAATATTACTTTTTTATATTTTTATTTCAGATTTAGTTTTAGTTCAGTATTAGTTTTTATTTATTTGTAGTTAGTAATTTTATTGCTAACTTAAACTAAAAGAAAATTAGAAATGTGACCCGTGCTGGCGAAATGGGAATGCGCAATGGCTAATTTTGAGCTGCAGGTCTAGTGATCCCAATGCTCCAAATAGTAATTAAACATCTAAGACGCATAAAGACGCGTCTCTCAGACAGCATGTGATCCTGATATACAGATATACACAGAATTACAGTATTTCAGAATATCTGTCTTGCCGAGTTTTCACGCAAACATGATCCGTTATGTCTTAAGTGAACATTCGGTTAACTGTTGGGGGAAAACATCTGATGTGTAACATTATACTAGATTCGTGCATTACAGGCCTTAATAAAGGCCGTCTGTCTTATTAATGTTAATCTAACAATAAAAGAAAAGAGGGAATCACTCGCTGCTCTTATAGTTTTTATAATCAGTTTATTTGTAATGAACACACTAAAGGGATTTTTACATTTGATTAGCCTGTTTGTTTTTCTTGCTTGAATGCTTCTGTTTAGATGTAGGTGATGAAAAAAGTAATGCACTATTTAATTGGTTTCTTTCTTATGTTGTATTTGTTCTACTGTTTATTTGCATCTTTGTTCTAATTTTTAATAACAAAGATAAAATAAAAAATAGCTATATTGTGGTTATTAATATTAGAGCCCGACCGATATGGCCGATACCGATATTAGGGAGTAAAAAAGGCTGATATCGATATATCGGCCGATATTCTTTGTGTATATTATAGTACAGTACCAGTCAAAAGTTTGGACACTTTCTCATTCGTGTGTCCAAACATTTGACTGGTACTATAGGCCTATATAGAATACAATATATACATAAACAGAATATATATAAACACATTTTTTGCAGTGATCACTCAAATGTGGTGATGAAACACTTATAATGACGTGACAAATTCCTTACTTAAGTGAAAGTGTTGACTGGTGTAGCTATCTCGCGAATGCGCCGGCGGATCTCCACCAAATTCGGGGGATCCCTTCAGCTCGAGGAGCCCTCTCGAACGCCACCCTCCGCGCGTCGGTAGCCCCCCGGGATCGCTAGATCGGTCGGCGCCAAATTTGGTGCTGATTCGCCGCGCCTTTACGGAGATATGGCCGTTCAAATTTTCAATGGTTTTCCATAGACTTAAGCTTTAAAGTGTTTCATCCAGGTCGCCAGTAGCAAACAATGGAGCGCGCTCTGCTGGACAAACTAAGTAATTACACCATTTCAAGCATTTTATCTGCGTTATATGTTCTGGAAAAAAAAAAATCATATCGGCAGCATAGACAGGCTCATAGCGGCCGATAATATCGGCTAAACGATATATCGGTCGGGCTCTAATTAATATAGTAATTATTATCAAGAAAAGAAGTGGAGGAAAAGATGCAACATTGCAGGTGATTTTGCTTTGGAACCTTCAGAAAACTTTTTCTCAGAATTGACTTTGCTGACTCTATCGATCTCAAACGGGTGTAGCTCAGGCATTTTTTTTTTTTATAAAAATTTTTTTAATAGAGAATGTGAAAATAATTCTCTATGCTCGTTGCGACTCATTTTGCCAGCACAGGTCACAAATGTTTTTCATGTAATGCTAATAATTATATTTTATTTAATCTTCATTTCAGTTAACAAAAATTTTTTTAATAGTTTCAGTTAACAATAACAACAGGGTTCTTCGCTCCTGGTCCTGCAGAGGCACTTTCCTGTGAAGCTTAGATCCAACAAACACTAAACACACTTGAATCAACTAATCAGAGTCTTTGAGTTTGCTTGAAAACTACATCCAGGTGTGTTGGATCACATTTAAAACTAAGGAATGAGGGACTCTGTCCTAGCCGTACACAGATTTACACCCTCTACAAAGATTTAAGTTGGTTTTTTGGCCTCTATAGTTTCAGTTAACAATAACAACAGGGTTCTTCGCTCCTGGTCCTGTAGAGGCACTTTCCTGTGAAGCTTAGATCCAACAAACACTAAACACACTTGAATCAACTAATCAGAGTCTTTGAGTTTGCTTGAAAACTACATCCAGGTGTGTTGGATCACATTTAAAACTAAGGAATGAGGGACTCTGTCCTAGCCGTACACAGATTTACACCCTCTACAAAGATTTAAGTTGGTTTTTTGGCCTCCTGTCAGGCTGGAGTTTTGAACACATCGAAGCAGCTTTTGTAAATGTATCCGTCCAGGTGCTGAGAGTTCAGAGCAGTTGATTTACGCAGTTAAATCTCTCTGTGTTGCTCTCGTTTGCGCTCTGACTCACTTAAAAACCTCTTTCTATACTGCGCCGAGCTCTAATGTGAGTTTGAGCGTTTATAATGTGTGTTTTTATGCGCTGCAGCTCTCAAACTGCAGGCCGCAGTGCTGCCGTCAAGCCAAAACGACAGCAGCGAGCGACCGCCTCTGAACACTGACTTGAGCGTTAAGAGTGTAAGAAATACACTGAAGAGATAAGAGGTGTGTGTGTGTGTGTGTGGTTTGAAGGAGGACATGAGAACTTCATTTCTCACACAAACTCAAACGCTCGTGGTCTGAAAGCGTTGCCAGGTTGAATGGTTCCTGCTCCGCATACTAATCAAAATGAGAAAGGAAACGTCCCTCCCCTTCATTCCCTCCTGCAGACAAACCTCAGCTATCTCAAGCTGCTGCAGCTTATGCAGGAGAAGAATAGCGGCTCCTCAGGGGAATATGTGTGGGTTTTGGCAAAGTTATGAGCTGTGAGCTAGTCGTAATTCAAAGTCAACGTGTTTCGTAAAAGAGGAACTTAACTTATGAAAGATGGCCAATTTACTTGTTCCTAGTTATATAAACAATTTATGCTTCTTCAAAAAAAGTTAATATTTTATTATTATTTTATTGAAAGTTAATGTTTTTAATTTTTTTTATTATTTTATTTTATCCAATTTATTTAATACATGTTCCAAATCTTATGAACAATTCATGCTTCTTCAGAAAATGTAATATTTTATTTTATTATAATTTTTTTTTTTTTAATTGAATTATTTTTTTTGTCAAGAGTCATATGAACTTCTTCAGAAAATGTAATATTTTATTTTATTATTATATATTTTTTTTAATTGAATTATTTTTTCTTTTCTTTTTTCTTTTCTTTTCCCAATTTACTTAATACATGCTCCTTGTTTAATGAACAATCCATGCTTCTTCAAAGTAGTACATGTTTTGTTTTGTTTTATTTTATTTTATTTAATACATGTTCCTAATCTTATTAACAATTCAAGCTTCTTAAAAAAATATATTTTATTTTCTTTTAATGTAATTTATATATATATATTTTTTTACATTTAATTGAATTTAATATTTTAATAAATTAAATTTTTATTGAATTTAATGTTAATTAATTTAATGTAAAATTTAATTTTATTTATTTATTTAAAAAAATATTTAAAATTAAAATTTTCTGGTCAGAGTAAATGCTCACACTTTAGTTTAGTTTTTTTTTGGGGGGGGAGAAATTAATTCTCTAATATATTTATTATTAAGATATTTATTCTCTAAGATATTTATTATTATTATCTTGTGATGTAATTGACAAGGGAGGCACCTTTGTCCTCCATTTAAGCAAAATGGTCTCAAATAAAATTCATAAAGCATTTATGTTATATCATGATTATGCATACATGCTGTAAAATGACCTGGGGTCAGTATTGCCTATTAAACTGAGCTATCTTTGCTCTTTACAGCAGGAGATTTTGTACCAGTATCCGGCGTCTGAAGCTGCAGTCCAGCTGAAAGCGGTGAGAGGCATTTTCCTGACGCTCTGTGACTTGCTGGAGAACGTCACAGGAGGACAGATAGTCAGGTGAGGGGTTTTATTAATATTTTTATCTTACGCTCACCAAAGGCTGCATTTATTTGATGGGAAATGCTGTAAAAACAGTGAAATATTATTACAATTTAAAATAGCTCTTTTCTATGTAAATATCTGTTAAAATGTAATTTATTTCTGTGATGTAAAGCTGAATTTTCAGCATCATTACTCCAGTCTTCAGTGTCACATGATCCTTCAGAAATCATTCTAATATGCTCATTTGCTGCTCAAGAAACATTTCTGATTATTATCAACGTTAAAAAAAGTGGTGAAGTTGTGAGTGGTCAGGTTTAAAGCCGTTTTAATGCTGCATGTCGTGTCGGTTTGTCCCGGTAGTTCGTCTCTGTGGCTCCAGCAGCAGTTGGTTCATGTGGGCTACTGGAAGGAAGGATCCAGTCTGCTGGTGATCGCTGTACCTGCCAGCAGGTAATTCTCATCTTTATAATCATCCCGCCTGCCAACAGGCCACTATAATCTAGATAATAACTATAATAACTGTCATTATAATCAGCTCGGCTCCTAAAACTGACCGAAAATCTCTATAATCATCCTGTCTGCAAGCCAGTATGTGTAATCTAGATAATAACTCCAGTGATTGTGATTGGGATTGATCTTAGTAATGACACATGATCTTTGACGTCGTCAAAAGACGTCATCCTACTTCTCAATAATAATAAATCGGATCCATAATCCCAGATGTTCAGCTTGTTCATAACCTTAGGTGTGTTTATTGCTCCACAATGAAGAATGACACAAGAGTGACTTCTCTCACGATGTGTCCCAATCCACTGCTTGTCATGTATTTTAAAGTCTCTCAAGTAATCAGAAATACTTTTTTTCAAACTGTAAATTTATTTTATTTTATTTTATTGTTTTCTTTTCTTTTATACTTTTCTTTTCTATTTTTATTTTATTGTATTTTATTTTATTCTCCAAAAGCAACAGAAAGCCTGTCATTCATTCAGCACTTATCATGGCCATACGCGTGATTCGCAATGCTCAGGTGAAATGCTATAGTAATACTATAAATCTGCGGAAGCATTTGATATCACGCATAGGCGCCATGATTTCCGCAATGAATGAATGGCGGCTGGCGTGGCGCACTGTTTTGTTTACACATAATAAAGCGCGGATGACGCTCGCGGTGTTTTCAGCTTCTGCTGTCTCACTATATGATGATATGATGGGTGTATCGATCCGAAGTATACAAAAATATCGATACTAAGGTGCATTTTATTTACCAGTGGTTTTGTTTATTTAAAGATGCTAACGGTCTAATCAGATTCAATGATCTATGCTAGGCTACAGCTAAAAGTGCTACCGCCAGACCTGGAAATCAGCTGAATGGATTCGAAAACGGTAAAACTCAGCTGTTTAACTCTAGGGGAGTTGGAAAATGAGCCTATTTTCAAAAATAGTGGAGTGTTCCTTTAAATGCGGGACAAATAATAATAACAATAATAATAATGCTAATTATTATTATTTAAAGTTTGTTTAGTTTAAGTGTAGTTCTCACCTTTCCATCTCTTATTTTATTTCTAGCTTTGGCATTGTTTTTGTTTAACTCCTAATTTTTGTTGCTGATTTTCTATCAGTTTGTCATAATATTTTTGTTTTGGGGTAAATTTTCGACATTGTTCGAGTGTTTGTTCCTCAGTTTAGTGTGCATCTGTCCCGCAGGGTTCCTCTGTTGTATCTGCAGACTGTGATTGAGGGAGCTGTCCGAACGCTCAAGGTCATGTACGGCTCTCTTGACAGGTATGCGTGTCTGTATATCTCTGGAGAGCGTTATGTGTGTGTAGATACAGCAGATGATGACTGCATAACCTCTGTGTCTCTTCAGCTGCTTCCGTGAGGAGAACGCTCCTCGTCTGGATCACTTCTTCTGCCTCTTCTTCCAGCAGCTCATCCAGCCCTGGCGTTTGATTGACAGCTCCAGACCACCCAGCCCTGACATCTCAGGGAGCCTGTTCTTAGACGGCCTGCCGGCTGTCCGGTGGCTCACTTTACCAGCAGACATAAAGGTGTGACTAGTGAATGATATTAAAGGGGTCATATGATGCGATTTCAAGTTTTCCTTTCTCTTTGGAGTGTTACAAGCTGTTCGTGCATAGATAAGATCCCTAAAGTTGCAAAGACTAAAGTCTCAAATAGTGGTCGACCGATATTGGTTTTTTGAAAGCTGATGCCGATATCTTGGAAAGCAGGGTGGCCGATGGCCGATATAAAGCCGATATAATTTTATGTATTTTATTTAATATTTAAGAAATTTGAAATCATTTGAAAATGGATTTAAAAAATAAATGTGTAAAATAAACAACCGATATAAAGCCGATATAATTTAAATATTTATATTTATATTAAATATTTAAGAAATTTGAAATCATTTGAAAATGGATAAATAAAATAAATGTGTAAAATAAACATGCTTATACTTTAAATGACAAAGTATTTTTCACAAATAAACAAATATTTAATAAAAATATATTAAAAAGGAAGTAAACACTGTAACCAACAGGGCATTCAATAATCTGGGAAGTTTGTGTGCATTGGGAATCACGTTTTTTCAAATAAAGCCAAGGTAACCCTCATTTTACATACAGCACACAGTGAAAATGACATGAATATGACAGTGGGCAAAAGCATGAAGCGCAGCATAATTTGAAATCATGAGTTTAAAGTTAGTCGATCGCGCGTCTCCAGTGAAGCTGAACTCTCCTCCTGTCCGTATTCAACGCAAAGAAAGAAGGTGTAACTTTTATTCTCGCTGCAGTATTGTTGTTGCCGCCGCCATGTCGTGGAGATGCTGTGTGTTTCGTTGTGAAAGCGTTTCAGAAAGGCGGGGCATAGAGGAGAAACAATAATGTACAGTATGTGGAAAATAATGTGTTTTTTTAACCTTAAACCGCATAAACACATTTCATTACACCAAATACACAAAATAATGTTCTTTTTAGCAATGTCATATGACCCCTTTAAATGTCTCCCGTAATGATTCACACATTACTGTAAAGGAATATTTCACCTAGTTCTGTCATCGTTTACTCACCTTCATGTTGTTCCAATCCATATGCTACTGTTTTTTTGGTGAACATCCTCATGCAGATGGGACAGTATGGGTGTAATATTAATAAATGACATGCTCTCAGGTGTTCATCATGTTTTGACTGTTTCTCCAGGTTGAAGTGGACACTGTGCTCTCAGACTTTGAGTCGTCAGATTTTGGTGACATGGTAAGATGAGTTATTGAGCTCAGATAACCCGTTTTTTTATCATCATAACTTTGGGAAAATCTTAAGGAATAAAATCAGTATATGATTTGACGGTTTGATGTCAGTAAAACTAAAGTAAAACTGAAACCATTAAAAATAGTTTTTGGTACTTGAAATAAAGATGAAACTAAATCAAATATAAATATTAGATGAAAACATAAAAATAGGGGTGTAACGGTACATGTATTCGTCCCGAACCATCACGATACGGTTCGGTTCGGTTCATGCAGTCAGACGACGAGTACAGTCAGTCGTAGGCGATCAGTCCAGAAGGGGGCGCTCAGTAATGCAACGCTAACGTCACAACAGGAAAGAGCAGAAGAAAAGACGATCTACGCACCAACCCAAAACAAGAGCGGCTCAAAGAAGCTCCTGCTTGTTTTAAATCAGCAGTGTGGGAAAGTTTTGGGTTCTAGAGGGTTCTCACCGGTCGATCAGCTATAAATCGGAACCAGTTTTTAGTTATATTTTGGCCGATCTCTATTTACTCTGTTTACAGCGGTAACCAAGGAAACTCTATATCGCTGCTGTTCCATAAGCGCCACCTGCTGTCAGAGAATAAATGTGCGCTTTCATTCAGTCCATCTGCTGTTTTTGTTTTGTGCAGGTGTCTTATGTAGCATACTTTCACAAATCTCTGTCTCTCTCTCTCTCTCTCTCTCTATATATATATATATAATTTATATTATATATAAATATAAATATTTTATATAATATAATAATATTTTAAACAAAACATATTTTTCTTAAATATATACATGCATGTGTGATCTACGCACCAACCCAAAACAAGAGCAGCTCAAAGAAGCTCCTGCTTGTTTTAAATCAGCAGTGTGGGAAAGTTTTGGGTTCTAGAGGGTTCTCACCGGTCGATCAGCTATAAATCGGAACCAGTTTTTAGTTATATTTTGGCCGATCTCTATTTACTCTGTTTACAGCGGTAACCAAGGAAACTCTATATCGCTGCTGTTCCATAAGCGCCACCTGCTGTCAGAGAATAAATGTGCGCTTTCATTCAGTCCATCTGCTGTTTTTGTTTTGTGCAGGTGTCTTATATAAGCTCGCAATTATGAGAAAAAGTCACCTTTGTGAGAAAAAAGACAGAATTGCAAAATATAAAGTTGCAATTGCAAGAAAAAAGTCAATTGCAAAAAGTCAGAATTGCAAGATATAGGCTCACAATTACGAGAAAAAAGTCAGAGTTGCGATATATAAAGTTGCAATTGCAAGAAAAAAGTCAGAATTGCAAGATATAACCTCGCAATTATGAGAAAAAAGTCAGAATTGCAAGATATAAGCTCACAATTCTGAGAAGTCAATATTGCAAGATATAAGCTCACAATTCTGAGAAGTCAATATTGCAAGATATAAGCTCACAATTACGGAAAAAAAAGTCAGAATTGCGATATATAAAGTTGCAATTGCGAGAAAAAAGTCAATTGCAAAAAGTCAGAATTGCAAGATATAACCTTGCAATTATGAGGAAAAAAGTCAGATTTTGTGAGAAAAAAAGTCAGAATTGCAGGATATACAGGTGCATCTCAATAAATTAGAATGTCGTGGAAAATCATGTCATGTTGTTTCACTAATAGTTTACATTTTTCAGTCTCATGAAACATCAAGAACATGTTCATCCCAAAATCTAAGGAATGAAATGATAAATTACATCATGCATAAACAAAATGAATTAAATTCTCAGACACCTATGGTAATACAGAAAAAAATATTCATATTATATTATTTATATTATATATTATGGTGTATTATTTAAATTATAAAGTACATTTCTAATCCCAATTAAAGTTCAAGTATATATTGAAATTAATTTATGCAGAATTTTTTTAATATGTGTGTTTATGCAGTTATTATTTATAGTATATATTATAATGTATTATTTAAATTATAAAGTCAATTTTACTTCATAATTGAAGTTCAGTTATAGGAATTTTTCATGGTAGTATTTATTGTATTTTAACTTATGCAGATTTTATAAATATGTTTATTTGTGCAGATATACATTGTAAATACAATTTTACATCACAATTGAAATATTTCACTGTAGTATTTATTTTAATGAAATTAATTAATTCATTTTTTTTTAAATATATGTATTTATGCAGATTTTATTTTGTTTATTTTATTATGTTATTTCAGTTGTAGTTAATTTTACTTCACAACTGAAGTTCATTTTTAGAAATATTTAATGGTCGTATTTATTGTACTGATATTAATTTAGTTATTCAGATATTATTTAAATAATGAAGTTAATTTTACTTCACAATGTTAGGAATGTTTCATTATAGCATTTTATTGTACTGAAAAGTCTTTTTGTTGATTTTATCATACACTTAGTGAAATTGATTGATTATCTGAATGATTTTATTATCAAATTGCAAATAAACTAAGTAAATCACTAAAGTAAATTTCTATATTTAAACATTTAAATCTGTTTCAAATAATAAAAAATGGTTTCACAATTAAAGCATAAAGTAGGTTTGTGTAGTATAACAGTCTATTGAAATGAAAGGTGAATTGTGTGATTTCTATTGCGCTAGCATCACTAAACTGGATCGCAAAAATATAGATTGAATTCAGATTTAAACACTGACTTTGTCTTTCATTGCTCCAACTAAAGTGTGTGTTTCAGGTCAAGTTTCTCTAGAAAGTGCTGATATAAAACACTTGCTTTGTACTTTCCCATAACAACTTGCAGAAAAGGATAAGTGACATCTAAGTAATATTATTTGATTTTTCCAGCATGCAGTGAGATGTCAGAGTGTATATATCAGCGCTGCATATGAATTATGATCCGGCCGTCTGTTATTGAGTATGTGTCAGAACGCCTCTCCTCTCATATAGCAGCATCAGGAGCTGCCGTTATAAATCACGTCCATCTGAGTTCAGCTGACGGCACTTCATTTACAAAGTGGGCTCATACATTCTCATAGAGAGAGACAAGCTCAAGCAAGCGCATGGAAACTAGCTTTCCTCACATTTCTTGAGTCAGTCCTCGAGACTGGAGGTCAGAGCAGCAGACAGTAGCTGCGTTTGTTAGATGGAGAACATTTATACAACCAAGTCAGATAAAGTTCAGCCCAAAGATACATTGCTATAAAAACAGGCCAGTGATATTTCTTTCTTAATTTCATATTTGATTTTATTTAATTTTTATATAAAGTTTAGTCTTTTTCTTTTACATTCCAGATTTAAAGGCACTTTATTAACAGTAACTCCTCAATAATAATATTTTGCATAGACCACTACAAAATGTAAGCCAATTATTTTATTTTATTTTAAAGTTTAGGCTTTTTTGATTGACATTCCAGATTTAAATGCACCTCAATAACTATAACTGTTCAAAAATGTTTTGTATAGTCAAACACAAACTGTAATCCAATTGCTTTATTTATTTATTTATTTTATTTTATTTTTAATTTTTTTTATTTGTCTAGACTTTTTCTTTTACACTCCGGATTTAAATGCACTTCAATAACAATACCACTTCATTCATATTTTGTACAGTCCAGCACAAACTGTAGTCTTTATGTGAATTTATCTTGTCTTTTGTGTGTGTTTTCTGTCAGATCCCCAGGTTAAAGCATCCTAACCCTTTCTATTTGGGCTCTTTGAGGAAGAGTCTGACTGACAGAGAAACTGAGGAGATGCACAACGTTCTCAAGTGAGTTTATCTAATCATAGAAAGTCATTTTATAATACTTATATGTTTTTTTTTTTTCACCTTTTGTGTTTCATGGAAGAAAAATGTCAGAAGTGTACCTTAAGTCACTTTAAATGACTAAATGTCTTCTTACTCATCAGGAACAGATTGATCACAGTTATCGTGTGTGTGTGTGTGCGTGTGTGTGTGTGTGTGAGTGCGTGTGTGTGTGTGAGTGAGTGAATGAGTGAGTGAGTGAGTGTGTGTGCGTGTTTGTGTGTGAGTGTGTGCATGTGTGTGTTTGAGTGAGTGAGTGTGTGAGTGTGTGCGTGTGAG